TGTCATATCTAGTTTGGGGCAATGAGACGAGAGAAGAGAAGAAGAGGTCTCGAGGGTGGAGACGTTATCTGCATCAAGTGCACGAGCTTCCATCACCTGTCATATCACATGCTCGTGACTTAAGACTCCACCTCATTTACGAGAACCTCAACTTTAAAGAGGTTTTGGGGTGGAGCGAAACTTAGGAGCCATCGTCCGGCTCACAACGTGAAAGAAGCGCTTGTTGGGAGGTAACCCAACCAGTCGGTTTGCATTTCTTTCTCTTTTCCTCCTCGGTTGAGTCAGTTTTTTTATTTGATTTTAGAGTCAATAACTCAACCTTTGTGAGATTTTGTGTGGTGTTTGTGTTTCGACTACTCTCTCCTCCTGGAATGCACTGCCTGCCTCGTCCACCGTCATTCACCCTAGATCTGGTGACTTCGTTCTACCCTCCTTATCTTTCCTCCATTGAGGACAATGCCATGCTTAAGTGTGGGGGGATGTTCGATTATGTATGCGGGTGAATGTTTGGCTGTTTGTGTGCTTGGAGCCTAGTCCACTCTCTAAATTTTTAAATTTGAGGGCTCCAAGTACGTGTTTCCTTGCAAATTGCATGCTCAGTATGCTTTGAATTGACAGTCTCTATAGTAATGTGCAACCTAGGGAGGTATTGTAGCACTATGGAGGATGTTGAAGTATAAGATTTTTCCTATCTAGCTCTCTATTGTGCCACCTGATTTTGTGAATTAGTGGAGCTAAGACCTTTGAATTCATGTGGTAATGGTGACTCTGATTGGATTGTGTTGTGGACTCGTGTATCGAACAGGGTGCTCATGTGGGAAATGAAAAGCAGTTGGTCCTCCATTTCAAAATCATTGAAATCTTAAACATGGAGTAAGCTCAACGTGTGTGGCACCGTTCATTGCACAAAATAGGGTTTTAGAATAGATTTTAGTGATCCTTAGTGGGGTACTCCTACAAGGTGAAGCTAAGCTGTCTCTAGTACAAGTAAAATCTTCATCCGTTGAACGGTTTGCCTACTTGAGGATGTGTTTTTAAGGGCACGGATAGAGCTTCCGACCCCCCTTAATTTCATTGACCCTCCACACGAGTTGAGGAAAAGGAGTTAAAAGAAGTACTCTGGCGAGCGCCAGATGTACAGAAATTGCTCTTGCTCGACTAATAAGGGTCGGTCGTGCAAAAGACTGCAGTTGGAACCCTCACCAAGTGAATGAACAAAAAGAAAATGTAAATGAAAGTGCAAAAAGGGGTTCCCACGGTGAAATGAAGTGAAAGAGCACCCCGGTACAATGAGTCATTGGTTGTGAATGGTGTGAGTCCCTTTATCCATGAACTGACTGTCTTACTTCCACTTCTTCTCATGATCCTGGCTTGAGTTGTATGTTTATGTATGGAGAGTTGCATTAGTTTGAGTTAGGTTTGCTTGGGGACAAGCAAACGGTTAAGTGTGGGGGAATTTGATAGACCATTGATTGCACATGTTTTTACCCCTATTCTTGAGCCGTTTGAGATGTTGGTTCTCGTGTTTTAAGCCGATTTCACGCTAGGTTGTGTGTTTATGTCATATGTCAGGGCTGGCGTTGGCATCGAGGCAAAGAAACGAGTTTCGGGTCGAAAGGAGCACGTTTGAGTTGAAGTGTGCTGGAGGAGCAAAATACCTGGCCATGAACAAGAATACCCAGCCGGGTATTAATCTGAGCAGACCGGGGAAAATCACTTTTGGGCGTTTGAGAACCAGAAGGGGGCCCGAGCATTGAGCATAAATTTCCGATCGGGTATTCTTGACCTTCACCGGGGATTAATCCCCTGTCCTTGACGGTGCGTTTCAACAATCCCCGGTCGCCACGTAAAATACCCAACCGGGGATCGCAATTGCAGGCTGTTAAAAGCCTGTTTTGTGCGTTTTTACAAGGGAGAGCTGGGTTTTGTATCCCAAACACCCAAGGGACGAACCAAAGAGAGAGAGAGAGAGGGCGATTTGAGGGAATTCTTGGAACTGGAGGATTTCTTCGCCTTGGAAGCTCGAGGAACAAGCTCGGACTTGAAGACTGAACATGTGAAGATTCTTACTGTAATCTCTCTCTTCTCTATGGAGTAACTTCCCTTCACTTAGGTTTTGAGGAACCCTAGCTATGTTTGTTGGATTGGATGATGTACGAGTACTCCTACTTGATAATCTTGAGTTCATATTCAATCTATGCACGCTTTCATGATTCAATTATGCTTTAGTCGAGATTATTGATTATGCTTTGATCCTATGAGAGCAAATACCTGATTAAGTCATTAGAGCACCATATATTGATTATTGGATCGATTGCTTTAGTCGAGGGTCGATTCACTACTTTGTATCGATTGAGAACCTCATTCGATAGAGGGAGCCTAGTTCAAAACGCCTTGATCGGTTGTTCTAGAGAAGGATACGTCCCTCTAGGCAATCGACACAAGAGGGCCTTGATCCTTTAGTCGAGATTCCAGGTCTAGTCAAGGATTCTCCGCATTGTGAATGAAAGCGAAACAAGCTAGAAATCATCAATCATTAATCTGGCTAGTGGCTAGGGGGAATCATACCTAAGTGAGTTCCCAACCTGTAATTGGATTAACTTAATTGTTAGAGTAGTTTTAGTTCTTCCATCTTAATCTGGTTTGCTAGATAATGAACTAAAGCTGTGTAATAGTAACTCTAGAGACCCGTGGATTCGCTATTTTTTACTTGAGCCAGTATACTGCAGTCCCTTTCATTGGTTACACTTGGCCATTGTTAGGATTTGTGTCATAGCGAGTCAGCAGGGCATCTTCCATCTTATCCAGCTCATGAAAGGCACCTTCATCAGCTCCATAATTGTAGTTGTGAAAACTACCGCTGCCTGATTGGAAATTGTACTGGGGTTGGTTGGAATGGTCCGGTTGAACTTCTTCTTCATATGACGGGAAAGATTGATGATGACCTTCACCTTGCTCTTGGTACTGAAAATAGGAATGAGGATCATGGCAGCTTTGGTAGGGATGATCTCCATATTATTCACCTCCACCATGGATACAAGATGTTTGACCGTCTCTAGAATGACCTCCAACACCTAAGACCGCCTCGGTGTAAACGAATATCTCGGCTTTAGAAAGATTGTTGGACCTCAAGAATTCGAGCATGGTATCTACTTCATCCTGAGTGGTTATGAGATATTCCTCGTCCCACAATGACCCGCCTTCTCTGTTTGGATATCAGTACACTATACGATCAACTCTTCTCGTGCCATCCATGCACGTAACGTTAGTATACATTTGATAGAGGTCTTCAAGCATTGGTCTGGGAGTGACCTTTATTTTTTGAAAATTGCCACTGACGTAGGTGACCCCCTTTCCGCTCTCTTCCGTGTAACCATTCCACCGTAACCCAAGCATGAACTTTTGGAATGACACTTGCAAAAAAACAGTAGTTCAACTAATGTCATAAAAATCACAATTCACAATTCACAATAAAAAGTAATACAAAATAATCTTACGAGTTAACGTTAACTGCAAAAACATTAGAGAAGTAGGGAGCTACAACAGAAAATTGAAAAGGGAGAAGGAGAGGTGTGAAGAGAAGAGGTTTCTCGGGCTGTCTTTTATAGGCAAAATCATCAATGAAAACTACATGGGGAGGGTGCGGTTTTCATCTGCCATGCAGCCCCACGTCTGTCAATCTGCATTGCTACATGTTTGGTGTCAGAAAATAATTGACACACAAGCCGCATGGGGGGGGGGGTGCGGTTTGTGTTGGCAAAACCGCACTTTGGGGGTGCGGTTTGTTTTGGAGAAGCAAAACCGCATCCCCAAAGTGCGGTTTTGCTAGGTCAGCACAAGACCGCATCTAGGCCATGCGGTTTTCTTAGATAAGACACACAAACCGCATGGCCAAGATGCGATTTTGGCCCAGAATGCTAAACCTCACCTTGGGCATGCAGTTTACATAGAAACCGCACCAGGGGGTGCGATTCACATTCAAACCGCACCTTAGAGGTGCGGTTTTTAAAAAATTGTGCTATTTTTGTAATTTCTATGGATTGGGTGCTATTTTTGTATATTTTTTTTAAATGGTGCTATTTCTGGAAAAATCCCCTTAACTTGTCTTTCAGCCAAACCAAAAACTCGAGTTTCCTCTTCAATCGCCAAACGCAAGTCACCATTTTTCTCTATAAAATTGACTGCTTTTGTATCTAGTGTAAGTTAATGGATTAGATTTTCATAATAAATTTTGATTTCATTTTGATGTTTTCATTTCAGATCTAGGGTTTCACATTTTTATTCAACTAGTCTTGCTTCCTAGTATGCGTTCCTAACTGCTTCACTTTTTGAATGCATATTTGAGTATTTTTGGCCGGCCTCTGAAGAAAATGTCTTCAAATGCAATCGGAAAAACATCTAACTTGAGTTCTATCCCTGCAAATGCTTCCAACACAGCTCTGGGGGGTGATGAACCTAATAGAGCAAACACAACTAGAACCCAAGCATCTGAACAGAATGATGAAGCAAATCCACATGAAAAAATTAAGAGGGCAAAGACTTCTGATGTTTGGAATCACTCTCATCAACTGGAAACATAATTAGGGGCTAAAAAGCTTAACCAATGCAGATATTGCAAGAAGTCCTACCCACCATATAGCCTAGGTGATACAACAACAATGGCCAGGCATCTATTGGTGTGTCCATTGAAATCCTCAACACTTTTTGAGAAAGGACAACAACAAGTCAACATTTCAACAATGCTTAAGCATGCTGAAAGTGCAATTTTTGTGCAGAATTTCAAATATGATCAAGCTAAAGTGCGTTAGATCATGGCTCATTGCTTCATAGTGAACAAAATGCATTTTATCACTTCTGAATATGAGTTATTTAACTTGTTCTTGAGAACCATGAGTCCAAACTATTAGAAAATTATTCGTACTACTATCCAAAATAATGTTTTCAAAACATATGGTATCCATAAGAAGAAGTTGAAGAAACTTCTCTAAGGAGTATCTAGGATGAGTTTGACTACTGATTTGATGCAATATGTTCAAACTGTGGATTACATGGTTGTTACTTGCCGCTTTGTTGATAAGGATTTCAAGCTCCAAAAACGTGTCCTTGATTTTTGTGATGTCCCAGCACCTTATACTGGAGTGGCTATTGTTGATGCGTTACAAACATGTTTGGCTGATTTGGACGTTGAGAGAAAAGTGTGGACAATTACAGTTGCTAATTCTTTTTACAGGGATGTTGATGTTAGAATTCTAAAAGAAACACTTAGCTTTCAAGGTAGGCTTCCTTTTGCTGGATATGTGTTTCATGTTAGATGTTGTGCTCATATTGTCAATACTTTGGTGCAAACTGGACTTAAGGAGATTGGTCCAATAATTGAGAATGTCATAAACAATGTTAAGTACATTGCTGCTTCAGAGAGTCGAGTCAACATGTTTTGGGATGTTGCTAAATAGCTAAAGTTGCCTGGAAAGAAGCTTATCTTAGCTTGTGATGTGAAAGTTGCATTTGCTCGATATGTTGAAAGAGATTCAAAATATGGTTGGCTGCCTTCGAAGGAGCAATGGCAAATGGCTCCTGATATTTGTAAATTTCTTGGGCTATTTAATGATATCACTACACATATTTTAGGAAGTGATTATCCTACTGCTAACTTGTTTCTTCCTGAACTTTGGGATATCAAAAGCCTATTGAATGAGACTTTATTATCTGAGAATGAAAGCATACAACTTATGGTTTCTGAGATGATGACAAAATTTGACAAGTATTGGGGGAGTCTAATTTGATAATTTCTATGGCCAATGTTCTGGATCCTAGAAACAAGTTCAGGATGATTGAGGAATTCTTTCTTGATTTGTACAATGGGGTTGACTCTAGCATTGAGAGGTCAAAGTAATTCATGATAAACTTTATGTACTTTTCAATGAGAATATTGAGGACTATAAAGCTAAGAACATTGGGAATTCAACTGAGGTAGATAGTGACTTTGTTTCTCCTACTACTGTTTCTACTACGTCAAGTTTGGTTGGAAGAAGAAGAATAGACAAGGCAAATTTGAATCTATGATCTGAAATGAAGATTCTCTTACAATAGCAAGATCATAATTGGATGTTTATCTTGCTGATGAGATTCATATTGTGTTGACATATTGTTGTTTTGCTGTTATTTAGTGGTGGAATTAACAAAGAATGAGGTATAAGGTATTTTCAAGGATGGCTTGTAATATTTTAGCGGTTCCTATAACTTTAGTTGCCTCCGAATATGCCTTTAGAGCATCCACATTGGTATTGCATTCTCAATTGCAAAATGACATGGCATAGGTGTTTGCAATTGTAAAACCAATTACATTGATGTGGCTATCAATTGCATATTTGCAAGCTTGCAACAAATGAAGTTCCATATGCAAGTCAAAAAAGCCTAAAAAAATGGGAATTTTTTATTTTATATTATTTTATTTTCTCTTTTACTTAATTTTCTATAATTTAAACATAATATTTAGTTATATTTGCAATTGCAAGTTAATTGCATTGATGTAGGTGAATGAAATGAATGTGATGTGGATTGCAAAAAATTTGAGTTGATAATAAAATACACAAATACAATTTCTTTTGTAATTGCATGGATGGAGATGCTCTTAGTGCCTGAGGAAGAGTAACTGATTCAAGTTGTGCATCATTAAAAAAAATTAATTCAAGCTCTTATTTGATCTTCTAATTGGTTAAGAAATCATTATGGTTTGAAAAGGAGTGTGAAGGTAATTCTAAACTTGCTTTTCTTGCTTCAATTTCATATAAGTAATTACTTTTGTTATACGTCTTATAAATCTATTCTCTTTTTTGTTTCTCCTTACATGCTTTGACCAAGAAGGAAGATGTTGAAATAGACTTTACTTAATGCATTACGTTAGTTTTTATTGAATTTTCTCTTTTAGACTATTGCTATTTTACTTTTAATACTGATATAGCCTATTGGATAACTTGTGTTGGGATTGTGAATCTTATGAGCTGGTATTCATTTTACCGCTCGAATTTTTGCTCCATCTTTTGGAACCCAAGGCAAATTATGTAAGTACCTACCCATCATCACTCATATGGCTGGTTAGATCAGGTCCTTAAGGCCTCTTTCTTAAGGAAGATCTTAAATCTCTTTCAACCAATAGGAGAAGGAGAGAGAGAGTGATTAGTAATGATTGGGTAACTACCTACCTAATACGTTTAAGGGTAAGACAGGAATATAGAAAATATTTAGATTTAAATGATATTATTAATTAAATCAAAATGGGAGAAACCACACAAACGTTGAATTATTATGGGTTTCGAGAATCAGTCTCCTCCCAACCCTAAAACCGTTCATCCTACAAAAATCGTCGTCGTGCCGCGCAGCCGCCGGAGCTCTTGCTTTCCGCCGTTTGGTTTTGCTGAACTGTCGTTGCATTTTCGTCCACCGTCGCGCCCCGAGTTGGTGACCCCTCGTTTCCGTCCACTGTTGCGCCCCGTCTCTCTTGTTTGTCGTCGTCGCGCCTGGTGACATCTCGTTTGTCGTCGTCTCTCTCGTCTGCTGTTGCTAGACTACCGATTACATGGAATCGCCAAGACCCTTCCTGTTTGGTAATTTTTTGTATTTCGTTTGGCTAATGTATATTTGGTTGCGTTGTTTGACGAGGTGTTATAATAGTTCGGGAAGGGTTGTTTAATAAACCAGGCAACAGTTGTTAACAATTTAAGATAATAACTCGGTCGGGATAATTAATAATGCATGCGTTAGTTGTTAATAATTAAAGTGTTTAAGTTAATAATGAACTTTGCCTGTAAACCTTCAATGTGGTTTTAGATTATTAATTAAAAAAGAATGATTAATAAGGACGAAAGTTTTTATTAATAATTGAAGGTGTTATTAAGTAAAGATCATTACTCGAAGAGGGATGATTAACAACTAACGCATGCATTGTTAATAATTCACGTTATTAACGTTTCTCCCGAGTTATTAAAACATTATTAACACGCAAATGTATTTCAACTTTAATTATTAAGAAATAATGTCGTTCGTGTTAATCATCCCTTTTAAAGTGCGATTTGTATTGATCATTTTTCAAGCATGAGTTATTAATATATTTATATGCGATTTGTAATTTTTGCCAGTGGTCTACAATATGGCGCGTACAAAGAACACAACGCGTAATCCTGCATAGCTTAGTAAGACGATGGACAAGAAGAAGGCAACTACCCTCAGAGTTGCTAACAATATTATGAATCAATTATGGGCGACCACAACACTCTTACGCTATGTAATCAAGAAATTATCCTTACAATTTCAATATTCAACCACGTTATCAACTCTTATTAATTATACAATTGCAATTATTAACAGGAATCTTCGTCGCCTTTCAAAGGTCTCGTTCAATCCGCCATATATTACTTTGGTTTAAGTCCTCCATATCTTATGATATGTTGTTTTGGTAGTTTAGTGTTTTTGTTCGGTGTGCATTGGTTTAGGTTGTTCGTTGCATGGGCTTGGAGTATTTCTTCGACCATTATTATTATTTTTTTTTTTTAAGGCTGTTATCAACATTTTCTAACGTGCCAAGTTATAAATCATTGGTATGATTAATGTGTATAGTTAGTTTTTTGTCATTAATAACCTTTCTTGTCTATTATCAGTCTGGGGTCATTATTAATGTTTCTTTGCCAATTATTATTATTTTTATCGCCATTATCAAGATTTTCTTACATGTACTTTTACTAACCTCGTGGTTGAATTAACATGTACTATTATTAATCTATGATCATTGTTAATGTATATAATATTTACCCTGCATTATCAACAATTTTATCGTATTTCAAGAAGGGATATTGGACAAGGCGAGGTCAACCATGCTGGCTTTGTTGCTGATGAGCCACTGATTCATGTGCCCGCCGATCACTTATTAATATGTTCATATTACGTTATGAATAACATTACCAATCAAATTGAGATGAGACCTCTAATACCTATCAACAATATCAACACATATTATTACACCTTAGTAACCGACCACGAGACTATTATCAATTATATTATTGCAATTATTAACCATAAACCATTGTTATGACAATGTGATCATAACTACATTTTAACTTATTTCCATCACTTATTAACATTTCCATCTTGCATTGTTAATTACATTATCAACGTCAATATATTACAAGACGTAGAAGGGGTCGGAGTATTCGTCGGAAAACGGGCTAGCGGTTGATGGCGTGGAAGCTGGGGACGTTGGAGCTGGTAGGACTATTGGTGCCGCGATCGCTTGACAGTAGTTGTGGCATACGTCGCGATCGCTTGAGAGCAATTGTGTGTCCGCCACTCGCCAGCTACGGAGGAGGGAGCTGGTAGCGACGGCGACGGTGTAGAACAGAAGCGTGAGCAGAATCACCTGCCAGAGATCTCAGCGGGAGGGAAGCTGGACCGACGCGAACAACGACAGCTGTGTTTTGCGTTGGTGGACTTGAACGACGACTGCAGCGGGAGCTAGCTGCCTTGGCGGAGAATTCTTACTGAGAATCGCCGGCCAAAGAAGGGACGACCGGGAGAGACGGTTCGCCTGCTTGCGGAGGAAGAAGAAACAGACAGCGGGACGGCTCGGATGTTTGCGGGAGGGAAAAGAAAGAGACGTGGGTTAGGGTTGCTGTTTTTAATTTAACTAGCTTATTACCCGGTCTGTTGGCCGGATTACTGTATGTTACCCACTTGTGGAATGGGAGAGAAAGCAAGTGAGAGTGAAGGGATTGGGATTCCACTTGATTAAGACCGGCCCACTAATCCGATTCTTCCCGACCCGCCCCAACCTAAAGGGTCAGAAAGAGTCAATAAGAAAATACGAATGGAGAGAATTAGTAATATATCTTGACTCTTCAGAAGTGGGTGAAACAGGATAAAGGTTGGGTGAGGGCAATTTTTAGCGCTAAGCAGAGTTCTGGGTTGAATAACTTTACTTAGGCCTAGAAATTGGTGCTGATGCAGACTGCAGTTTTTATCATACCATCATCAATCATCATTGAATTAGTCCTGGGCATCCCTCCCCGTTGTCGGTCTGAATTTTAATGAAGGATTCATTCCTTGCACCAGCCATATCAGCAAGTTGTCATCTCGAGCATGATTTGCCTATGTACAAATGATACAATTAGAGTATGAAAATGAATTCAAAGAAAAGGAAAAGAGAATTCTATCACATGCCAATAAATACACACATAATAGTTGAAGCTAAGTGAAAGTCATTACTCGCACATCAATTCTCAAAAATTACAGACTAAACAATGGCTAGAATGGCACTGAAACTACCAAGAATCATGGACGAAACAACTTGTCAAATTAAATAATCCTTATACTGAAACTACCTTCTAACTTGAAATAAGACATGATCACAGTTCATAGCACTCTTATCACTATGAATTGGTTGCAGCTCGTCCTTATCACTACC